CCATGACTGTAAGGCCTTATGAAGACATATTATGCAGGCATGCTTTGTGGAGACCTTGTCATTGTCGAAGCACTAAATATGTCAGCGTTAGAGTGAAGCATTACATGTCTTTTGAAGTGGATATAGTTTAATGATGCTATGGAATTTTAAAGGCCAAGGCTGTTATCAGTTGATGTGCAATGACTGAAAAAAGTGACCAAAGGAAGGTGTGTGTGTGTGTGTGTGTGTGTGTGGCCCACTTCTTACTGTGAGGATTTCCACACTGACTGAATGCATATATCCCAAAAGGAACAAAACAGTGTCCATGCATGCTTGTGTTTCTGTCCAACTAGCATATCTAAGTTCAATATTCACTTTCCTTTTGCTCAGTTTTTGGTCTCTACCAACCCCTGAGGGAAATATCTGGCTCTTTAAACCACTAAATGATCCACTATGTTCGCCAGATAGTCACTAAATACGAGTGCCATTTGCTACTGAGTAGATTAAAGCCCCCCAAACTATGGAGTTTCTTTCTTGTTTTTATTCAAGAGCATAGTCTTTCATTTTGAGAGCATTATTTTTCCCTCAAAACCCTGCCCTCTTCCTCAGACACTGCTCACGTGTAGATTTGCTCTGCTCCTGCTCAGTTTGTGTGTACTCAGACACACTGAAATGTCCTACATTTGTGCTTCAGATTGAGTTTCAGGCTGCCTGTGTGCACTCACTGAAAGTCTGCTCTCATTCTCTGATTTCTGTCAAAAACCTCCAATTCCCACATGTTGACCAATTATGCGTTGTTTAATGTGTTATATGTGTATCTCTGTGTGACTGAATAAGCTATTTTGAATGTGCAGGACAGTTAATGTGGTTTTAAGTTCCATCACTTCCCCTTGTCGAATCAAAAGCTACTATTATATGCTACTGTCATGATGAAAGAGGAATTCATCATTATTTCTAATGTGAAATCTTTCTAAATATATTCCAGTTTTGCAGGTTACGACTCTCACTGTTTCCCTCCAGGTGAGCACGCGTGAAAGAAACAGTCAGGGTGCAGCTCTCGGCTGAATCAGAGTTCCTGGCTGTGCATTCGTTGGGACAGACATTGAAAGAATAAATGGCACATTGTCACACCTCCATAACTAGTTTTGTTACATTCCATTCACTTATCACTTCCAAACACACTCAAGGGAATTTGTATGTGCAAACACATGTCCCACTTATCTAGCTTTGGTTTTCAAAAGCTTCACACAGTCTCATTTCATTAACACAAATACTTTAGCTAATTTCCCATAAACAGAATGGTGACATAGGTCGGGGGGGGGTGACTGGCTGCACATTATTTTGTAAAATGACAACCGGTTCACTTGCTTTCAGACCTGGTACTAACAAGACTTGACTTCAGGCAATAATGATCACATTCTTATGCAGGCATTAATGCTGCACAAGTACCCCAGGAGGCCATGACAGCATTAAAGTAAAGTATTTACTGTGACGTTAAAATGTCTGCTGTGAAAAAGTCCTGTTCAATGAAAAAATGCACTTATTCCTTTAATTTAGAGATACTACACTTGTGTATTTCTATTAAACTATATGGTACTCTATAGTCTCCATATAAAACTACAAATCATTGTTAGATAGTTAGATTTGTTAACGCATTTAACAAATGTATATGTAGCTGTTAATTAGTGATCTTTGGACATGCTACAGTGAGATTATTTTCAACTGGGAACAGAGCCAGGCTAGTTGTTTCTCACGGTTTGTGATCCTAATCTAAAATAATCACCTTTGGTCAAGCTACATACAGATAGTAGAGTAGTACTGATCTTCTCATCTCTCACCAAGAAAAGCAAGTCATTTGAATGTACTTATTGTAAGTTGCTTTGGATAAAAGCGTCAGCTAAATGATATATAATGTAATGTAAAGTGAATTTCCCATAAATACAGAACTGTCACTTTAAATGTCTTATCTTAAACTCACTAGCTTTGTGCCAAAATCATTATGTAACTTCTGCCGACTATTATTTGGTCTGCAGAGCCATAAAAAAAATAAAGGCTCACCTTTTGCACCATGAAAACCAAGCCAAGGACACAGGTTAATAAGCCAAATATTCAAGGTTAAACATATTAGGTCATCCTTGTTATACAGTCTAGGCAGGGAATACCTTTCAAATGAGATCAGATCTGTCTTTACATCTTAACTGAGCTCAGCTCAGGTAGTTTGCTTGTAGATTGTTGCATGGGAAGCTAGTACTTTACCTAGAGGACCCCAAGTAGGAAATACTAATTATTTCAGGATTTTAAAATGCATTTGAGTCCAAGTCCTTGAATACAGTATTAAACTCTTATTTATAATGAGACACTAATCAAGGTTAGCAGTGGTAGCGTGTGTGCTGCAGAATGAGCAGTGAGAGAGACAAACAGAGACTGGGTGCTACATATACAGACTGTTGTGGTTTCCCCACTACCCTCATTACCCTGACAGTGGTCTGCTGCACCCTGAGGTGTTTCACTTCACAGTTTGCCACAGCAGAGCTGTTTCTACATCACTGTTTTCCTTTTCATTCATGGGCCACGACAGCAGCAAAATGACTTACCGCTGCCACATTTCCCCCTCAAAACAAAACAAGTGCTGGCATTAGAGTGTTCAAATGAGAACTACGCGTAAAATGACTGCCCCAATTAAAGTTGTAGGGTCCCTCTTGTACAACAAACCTCCCCAGGCATGTGGAAATGCATGCTGAGGAAATACACTGATGTCACCTCTGTATATAAGTCATCACCCATCCTCCACTTTCCTGTTACAGCCATGCTTAAGCTCAGACTGTACACCACCCCAGGGCTTTCTGTCTGTCTGTGTGTATCTTTGTATTTCAAGAGGGCCTTATCTGCAGCCTGTGTGCGTGTGTGTGTGCGTGTGTGTTGATGAGCACATGCTTTCAGTTAATGCATACAGGCAGGCATGATTAGTTGTTTACATCTGCAGATGTCTGGAAGGCCTCCTGCTCTTCCTGCCTCTACCACCATCGCGTCTAACTGATGGCAGGGCCATTTGCATTTTGTGTAATTTAAACTTAAAGTTAAGTATAGATACGTCAAAAAGACCCATAATACTAAAAATAAATATTAACTCTGCCATAACTAAAAGCGGAAAAATATATACCAGCTATAATATAGTGTGATGACTTAATTACTATTTTTCTGAAAATGTTATGGCTTTCCACCCAGTTGGACTTTGAGTGGATGGTTTTCCCCAGTTAGACCTCATTCTAATAAATCAGCCTTTCCTTTCCAATTACATTTGGTAGAACAGAAATGTATAGGGCACTGAGTTCAGTGCCGATTGAACACACTATGACCAATAATAACTGATGAACAACATAAATGAATTGCATTTCAGTTGATAATAACCAGGCTAAAATGATTTTTGTAAGTGAAGAGATTCACTGTAAATCACAGGAGTATAGACTTTTTAATTTCTGAAACTGTGGTTTGGGGTTTCCCTAAACTGCTCCAGTAAATTTGAAGATTCGAGGCTTGTTGGATTTATGGTCAACACCATGGGTTAATGGGAGTCCCACCATGGATACCTGTGGTTTGGTTTTTGATCTATAGCTTGTCATCCAACGCCAAAACTAGTTCTTTCTGAAAATGAAGTAAATCAGGCAGCATCAGACATGCACTGATCTTCAAATAATCTCTGGCTGTATTTGAGAATGCCAATGTCAAAGTGAGAAGAAAGAAAGAAATACAAATATCCTGGGTGAAAAAGCAGTGCAACACACATTGAAGAAGCTTTTGGTGATAAGGGCAGACGCTGGTACATGTAATCTCTGGAGCAGAATTCATGCGTTACATCACAAGTCTGCCTGCTGTGCCACCCGTCACCTTAACACTCCGGAGATTTCTGTGTTGTTCATAATGCATCATCATTGAATGATCAGAGACACTGAAGAAAGTCTGGACCCAATTCCCCGGACATTCTCTGGAGTCCATGTCTGAAAACGGCTTAACTAAGCCTCAGCTTGCTCCATGTTCAAATCAAATCAACTTTACGGCTGAACAGAAGGACATTTCTCACAGGCCAGTGTGCAAAAAAGAAATGGCGCAGCATAAAAACGCGACAAATAATGAAATAAAGACCAAATGTTGTCTTCATGTAGTGTATCTAACTCTGCGTTGTGTTGTGAGTGAGGTAAAGACAAACTCCCTGGGAAGTAGATTTGCGCTATTTCTTCACGGCCAGCAACAGCTGTAACATAGGACAGGGCATTCACAGACTTTCTCTGGCAGACTGCCTCTCAGCATCTGTAATTGTGCAGAAATAACACATTCATGGTCTCAACCGTGTGGATACTGTGTGCTCAGTGCCTTCCCAAGGAAAGTCTGAAGCAATGAGAAAGTACACTTCACCGAAGTGCTGGAAATGCAGTTTGCAAAATAAACCGCCCGCTGTGCTAGGGGCAATAATCCTTAACATTTTAGGAAGACACATGCCCATAATATAATGCTCAACCTAACAAATTACACAACTATGAAAGAACATACTAATGAGATTTCAACAGTAGTTAGGAAACTGAATAAACATGACAGCGGAACATTTCAAAATAAAAGTCTGTGCTTTGATCCGTCTGGGAATTTTTGAAATGTATATTATTTATACTATAGTGTTCATAATACATACCACTATTACATTCACACTCTTTATATACAGTCTATGATTCACACTCAACATTACAACATTACACATTTTGGTGTAACGCCTTCAAATAAATAACCAAAAAAACGTCCTTCTTCGAGTAGCTTTAGGAGCAGAAAACCAGAAAACGTGCTATTCACTCATCCTAGCGTGTTGGATGGAGAATGTTATCGGAGCAAAATGAATTGTTCTTCATTTGCGCACATTGTTTTGTTGATTTCCCGCCAACCCCAGCCAACCGCTCTCCTCCACACTGCGACACCCATTTTGATGTTTATGTGAGTGGAGCGCGCTTCCTGCAGAGAGGAGCCGGGGCCTGGCTCATTTTCGCCTGGCGGGTCAGCTGCTGTGTTTCAGTCTGGAGCCGCTGGCTGCTACTGAACCGTTTGGCTCTTTTCTCTACTAGCGAGCAAAGCTACAATCCAGAGAGCCACTGTCCATCCAGCGCCTCTTCCTGGGGATTTATCACTCTATGTGCCCGTGTATCCAAACACACCGCTCATAGGGGACTCCCGGCAGCGGCTGGCCGGCTCTGCGGGCCGTTATAACGCTTTGGTCGAGCTTTAATCAGAGCCAGAGAGCCGCGGTGGTGGTGGAGGAGGAGGAGGAGGAGATCCCATATTAGGAGCACAGAGGAGCAGGCACCCCCCTTGTGTGATCTGGAGCTTCTGGTGAGTGTTTATCGCCTTTTTACCTTATCGCCGCCATTATTAATGGTGCCCCCGCGCACGCCGGTGACCGCTGACTTTAGACAGCGGCCGTGTGCGCGTTACTGTGTCGCTGTGGACGTGTATTTGTGTGTTTTCTCTCCGGGTGGGGGATGGGCAGCGTCAGCGCGTGAGGGGGTGCGCGCGCGCGCGGCGTGCGTGCGCTCACAGGGCAGTTCTCGTGCGTGGTTTGTATTTGTGATCGCGCCCTTCCTCCTGCAACTACAGTGACTTGAGGCTGTGATCTCTAACCTCAGCAGCGCACATAGCATCCCTGTAGATTCCATGCTGCTGGAACACACAATGAAACGTTGGGTGAACTTTTTATGCCATTTAGTTTCATTTTGGATACTTTATAATAATCCATGCCTTTATTTCTTGTTTACTTTTTTTGTGTTAGTGTATACCTCGTTTATAAGTGTCCACATGTAGGTGTTGTTATTAAAGGCCGCAGAATAACAGCATTCATCGATCAAAGCTGAAAGTGCACTGGTAGGATTTTGTGCCACAGTTGTAGTGACTAGTTTGTGGAGTTGTGCTTACAAGTCCATAGTTGTTATTACATTATAAACAAATGTTGCTGTTTGATTTGGATTATTTTCTGCAGCGTACAGTAGATCCCCTTAATGTGCCCAAGTGCATTGAACACTATCATATTATTTTATTACCCTTGTGTCAAATCTTATTCAAAGCTTACTAGAGTGCTGTGCAGCTGGTTGCTCCAAAGCCATGGGTGGTGTGGGGGAGGGGTGAACACACACTCACACACACAGACACACACACACACACACACCCAGGAGGGCCACTTGCCAACCTTGTGAAGCTCTACTCAATGACACAATGTACCAGTCCCAGATAGGCCTTCAGTATCTGTGCAAGGAAGGAAAGAGTTGGTAGTATAAACTCAAATGAGCCATGCTAATCAGGTTAGGGCATTTGTAGGCAATTGAAATCTTAGTTGTAAAATTTCTCTGCTAACACACATCTTAATTCTGTATAATGCTTTGTAGTAGCCTGTTGCCTCAACAATTCTTTTCCTTACAGCCTCTGTTACCTTGTTCTGATCAAATGTTGCTGCATATATGTAAGGTGGGTTATTTAATGGTAATGTATGGGGGTTTGACCTGATGTCATAGAGGTGCTAAGCTCATTATTTCATTTATATCAGTGCCTTGGAGAGCAGTATCACACAAGAACCCTTGATCATCCAAAGACAAAAATAGGCTCTGTCTGTGTCCTTCTGTTGGTCTTTGTTTGTAGTAGTGACAGACCGACCAATACTGTATCTTTTAAGCATTGGTATTCGTATCAGATAACAGTCTTTTAGTGGGCTTTAACATAAACACAGAAGCACAACATCTGTAGCTGTTTTTAAACTTCTCAGGAATGATTGGTTTTATTTTTACCGTCTCACTATTTCCGTTACACCTCCTCCTACTAAAGTGGAAACACTGCTTATCATCCAGTGGTTTGAATATACTGAATATATCCAACATATCTTGTTTTGTTTTGCTTTGGTGTGATCATATGCCAGGTCTGTTTAATCAGCTGTTTTGGATTGGAACCATTGACTACTGGCCTGCAAACCTCTCCTGCACAGGTGCAAAACAAATGTGTTGGCTCTCTCCCCTTAGTGGTATAAAAGTGCAACATTTGACAGAACATGCAAGGCATCGTATACTTATCTTATCTGTGCTCGTTTGTTGAGGTTGGCTCAGTGTGTCAAGCAAGGACGCCTGCCAGACATAGAAACAAGTCTTTTTATGTGGCCACTGGCATATGTAATCTGCAGCTGTTGATACATCAACTTAGATGAATGCTCAGACTGTCTCAGGTACAACTATAGGCCCTGTTTAGCTTTGGTATTTGAAGAGAGTCTCCCTCTCTGCATTAATGTTGCGTAATGCCAGATAGTGGAACTGTAGTTAGTACAGAAGCTAAGTGGCTTTGACTGAATTCAGATGCCTCTTTACCAGAAACAAAAATCCAATTCATTGAGTCTGGAGGGGATTGTTTTCCCTGGATATTGCCTCTATTGCTGTGGTTTTTGTGCTGTCATGATCACAGCCCTGACTTCTTTTAGTTTTGTGTTAGTTAATTGTTCTGACATGGTTGTTGTTATGTCACAAGTGATTATACATTAAACCCTAATTATTTACTGGCTTTTGATGATTTGCTGGAAAAGATACAGGACGACTTTGTAACGGCGTAGTAATCCATAATCGTGGTCTTTGTTGTGCTGTAACAGCTGCCTCTATAGTCCCAATTGTCAATGTACACCAGATAATATGTGCATTGTCAATGACCTTCATCAAGAACAGGGTCACACCTGCACATGTAATGTGGGTTGTTTGATAAAGAAAGGTCTGACCAATTAATTGGTCAATTATATGCAGCATGTGCTGGGCTCCCACTCTGCTCCACTGCTGAACCTTTTAGCACATAACTTAATTTTAGTGAGCAACATTAATCATAATTAATCTGGCTTGCTATATTGTAAGCTACTGTCTGGGTGCTTAATCACACCCAAATAGACCCCGACATCAAGGAGCATCCAGAAAACACATTATAAAATGCCATCCCTGAAAAGACCCAGTGTCTGTCTTGTAACATCTTGGCTGTTTGTCATGTAGCATTTAGCTGTTTCACGTGTCTCTGCTTAACATCATGCCAAAGCATATTACACACATGTTGCCACAAATATCCCCAAAACGTAAGAAATAGTAATCCAACATTAATTAACTTAAGTTATTATCAGGCAAGGACAGTTTTGATCCTGGGACACTGAAGGGACTACATGAGGTGCTTACAAGTGCAGTCCAAAAGACTTGTTCAACAGAATGGGAAAGACCCCAACACACAGACACATCTCTGTAGAATTCGGTACAAAAAAAGACACAATCTTACAATTTATTCATTTAAATTGTGAATCCATCCATAAAATTTTGGGCCTGTATTTAGCTGAATAATATTCACCACATGCACATCAAACGTTTTGCATGGCAACGTCACACTAATCTAATTCAAAACCCCAGCAACAGAGCGTACTGTCCTTAAAATCTAGTGCTTGTGGTTTCTGTTGACAAACACACTGAGCAGTGGTTGTTTATCTCTGTGGTCAACCATGGAGGTTGGAGTTTCTACTAGTATGTCTATCCGCTGGTGGATCTCAGTGGCCGAGAGGAGAAAACGACGCATTCTCAAAGCCAAACTGTCCCTTTGGTACACCTACCAATCATTGATATCAGAATACATGAGGGAAAGATGGGAGTGGACGAGGGAGTGCCATTTCTTTTTTTTCGACTTTAGTTTCCTACAGTGTTGTGGTGAGATAGCGTAATAAGGGCACACACATCAAGTCTTGAGCAGTGTTTTCAGTCTTGTAAAGATAAACAGAAAGCTTTGATTGACTGTATTTAACTGTATATTTAACAATGTGCTATGCTGTACAACTGAAAAAGATGCATAGAAATCGGATTAGTATTTGACAGCTGATGGCCGGGGTCACCGCTTGTTGACCATCCTCACATTGGCCCATTTCCCTGACTACACTGCAAGCAAGGTTTCTATTAATGACCATCCTGTACCAGACACCAGCATTTAAAATGGAGCAGTGAGAGTAATCTGTGCTGTCTCTGTCTGTTTATAGTCACTCATTTCTTTGAACAGTTTCACTTGGTAATTTCGACAGTGAAGAACTGGATGTGACTGGAAGGCTTTTTTGAAATATAATGCGAACACTGTTGGTATATCCTGGACTTACTAATTTGCCCTTGATGTTGTTTTTCCCAGAGCGAACAAATGGGCACATGACACAAGAATATGGTTAGTTATAGTGCAAGCAGCTGAGTCATGTCATCTACACAGGACACATTGATTAGTTGGCCTTATTAAATCACAGAGTGGTGGAGTAGTACAGTTACATAACCAGTGCTCTCAGTGTTGTGAATTGAAACAGGAAAGGCAAAATGGACAAAGAAATGCAGTGGGTAAAAATGTCTTCCTTATTTGGGTAATGGCCTGACATGAGATGGAGAGAGACACAAATATGAAACAGCCCTTTTAATGCAAGATCATGTACTGATTCCTCATCGAAACTGTCCTCATTACAAATGTGGAACTGTAGTGGGACAGAAGAGTCTTAAATATCGCTCATCTTGATTTCACTTTCATTTTGAACATTACATCCGGTGTAGAATATTCTCCATTCCTCGATGGTATGATGAAGACCCCCTCTTGTCAGCTCTTGATTACTAACTATCTTACAGACACATTCTCATAGGTCACCTTTGCCTGAATTTCATGTCTTGTCAGTCTGGAGTCCTGCAGTTACTTGATGATTGACTAAATGAAATTGACCTGGAAATTTGTGATGTTGTCTAAACAGTTAAGCAATGGCTCCACAAAATCTACGATTCCCAGAGCAACTTTTGCTGTTTGCCCAGCCATTGTCCTAAGTTGCCCTTTCATACTTGTAGCACACAACTAGAGATTGTCTGTGAAAGGCTGACAGGAAGTACTTTGATTATGGAGAGGGATGGCACCTGGACAGAATGTGCAGGAGAGATGGGAGAGGTGCTGTCAACACTCCTACATTCTCCCTGGTCTCGACTAGCTCTTTTCACATATTTGCTCAACCGGACATTACGCAAACTTTGCACTCGAGAGCAGGGAATTAGGTGCTGTTTATTGTCCAGTGCAACAGATTCAGACGTTTGATGTAGAGAAACGTTCAAGTTTGCAGTGCATGTGTGAAAGTAGCTTTTGACTATGTATCTATCAGGCCAAATCCCCCTCATTTGAATATAATACTGCATATTGTAATGCTGGAGTCTGAGGGAAACAGGTGGCCTAAATACTCTCAACACACACACAGTGACTATGCATTCCGTTGCAGCACAACACCATGAAGTACAACCTCCAAAATTAGCACAGAGTTGAATCAAAACCTGTCTGACACTTCA